GTGTATGGATGATAGGGACCCAAACAAAAGAGAACCCTGATTCCACCAACTTTCCCAAAGATTTCACAAAAGGAGATCGCTTCAACATGTAAATTAGTCTTTCCCCAAATCGGTCACCTTCAGTGCGAATTGTCAGGTTCGCTTCCTTCAAACCTCCCCCCGTGGAAAAGGTCAAACGGTATTGGCTGACTGCCTCGCATTCCTCCAACACTGATGAAGGGATGCCCTGTGCTTCCAAAGACTCCTTTGAGGCGAGGTGTTCCCCAGCCCCTGAATCCAAGGCCCATTCCACATCGTAGACCTCTTGAATGAGCGGAGCCGCTTGTGCAGCACCCGCAAGCACAGATCCAACCAAAGCCACCATTGCAGCCTTCGGCTTGGGAACCGCTTTGGCCTGACTTTTGGCATTGGCCGCAGCAGGCGGGTTACCTTCATGACGATATGGACAGTCCTTGCCACGTCGACAAAGCCCTTTGGGAAAAAAGATGCAATTCTGTTGTTTCTTACCATCAGCTTGTGAATTGGAGCTAGAGGAAGCGGTATTTGGAAGGGGGATTCTTGGAATCCGATAATTTGGCGCCTGCGTTCTTTCCTTTACCTTTTCCTTTGGATTTGCCTTTTCATTTCCCCTGGGCGACAGCACCGGATGCTTGAGATGCCTCTGCCTTGGGTGCCGCTTTGGCGGCTGCTCCAGTTTTCTTGGTCGTTGGACCCTTTCTCAAATCACCTTGAACCGATGATAAGTTCTTGTCATGTTAACATTCTGTGATGTGCCGATTAAGACGACTCCAAAGGTACTCAAAAGTTCTTTCAGGAGACCCGGCGGGTGTTTCTTTGATGCGATCAATGACTAATTGACAAAGAACGAATCTTCTTCAACGCTCGAACAACCATCGACTCAACATCTGTTCTGAAGGACGTTCGTTGAGGGGCAATTGGGACAACACATATTGAACCCTGTCACGGAAATGAACCAGTGATTGGTGATCACCTTCGGGTGAGGCAACTTGAAATAATTCAACACCACTGATAACACCTCCCAATGCGTTATCCAAATCCAACTCACGAATCACCATGTTGAGCAATGGACGACCACGTAGCCCAATGCCAAGAGTCACGGTTTCCTCAATGCAGGCCTGAATCCAAGGCCCAAAGAAGCCCTCCAAAGAATCTCCACGAGTGAACCAAGAGCACAACATCTTGTCAAACTTGGGGAAACCTTCTGAATGAATTTTCAAGGCTTGGATGTCCTGAGGGGTCAACGCATTGAACGCTCTGCGAAGCCACGTGTGAAGGTGGGCTTCAGGTGACCTGTCAAGCGCAGTCAACATGGGTAAAACCACATTCTTCCATTGACGCATAGATCCTGCACTCTGTGGTAATGGGGAAAACTTAATTGCAGCCACCTCTTTCCAATGCAAACATGTATCTTCAAGATTACCTTCATCCACGACAGTTAGCTGATCTACAGGCTCTCGCTCTCTCTCTCGGGGAAGCGCAAAAGGGTTTATCTGACCCCTAGCAGTAACACGTGAAGGAGGAGTGAAACCAACATTGCCAAGGATTGAAAGGATCTGAAGCATGAACACCCGAACCAAGACCAACCGGGATTGTCGCAGTAGGGTTCGGGTTGCCTGCAATCGACATCAAAGGATCCATGGAAGCATGAAAACGTTTGGGGTTAACCGCAACATGAGTGGTAATGGAATGTGTTGGTGAAACTGGTACAGCTACTAACTCTTCTTCATCATTCGCATCAGGCTGACCATCATCCCCATACCATTCCCCAAGTTGAGCAACTTTGGCACCTAATTACCTGTTGCATCCCGATCCAAAACGAGAAACTGGTTGTACAGATACATAATCAATCTTGACTTCCATGTTTTTGATCCTAGTTTCCAAATCCGCGCCATTGGGGCTCATGCCGCTAGAGGCAGCCAATTGAGATTGGAGGGATTGGATTCTTTGCAAAAGTTTTCTTTCCCTTTCCCCAGCTTCGGCTCTCAATTAGGCCAACTGTTGACACCAGTGACAACCGAAGTCGCTTGAGCTTGAACCGAAACTACTTCCTGAGTAGCCTGGACCTGAGATGCAGCCATTGCCTTAGAAGCTTCAACACGCATGTGCTGTTCACTGGCTTGTGAATGCATCACCTCAGCAGCTGCCTGCTGAATCACTTCGGCATTTGGTGCCTCGTGATACGTGAGATGCTGGTTGTGCTGCTGCACCCTTGGCTGTTCAGCATGAGGTCTTTCCGGTGCTTCGTTCACGTTTCTGTTCCGTCGAACTGAGGCTGAAGCTGATTATAGTTATTGATGGTTTCCTTTTGGCAACTGTGTCATTACGAACCGAACGTGCCGAAGAAGATCTTGAAAGGTCATTTTCAATCATCATGGGACCCCCAAAACTTCTCCACCTAAGGCGGAAGAAGATGACAAATTGAGGGAACTTGAAGGACATCATGAACGCTAATTGATTGCAAGATTCCAAGAAAAAGTCACTCAGCGGTCCACCACGGTCGCGGCAGTGGGCACAGTGAAGAAAGGCCGGTTGAAGGCACGAGGGGTTGCACGGTTCTGAATCTTATGGAAGTACGCAGAAACAGAATCAATACTCTCAGTATCGGGGTAAGTACGGCGATCAAAAAACACTGCGTCAACACCACGCGACCCAACAGACTGATATGTGGTCCACTTGTCGTCCAAATGAGAATGGCTGGCACAAATCAGATTACAACTCAACCTTATCTCGTCTGGTGGTGATCTGCAAAGACACGTGTTGAGAAGCTGGAATTCCCGGAAGTGACAGCCTGCGATTAAAATAAATCACCTGGACCTTGGGTGACCTCCTACGTTCTAAAGATCTACGCCCGTACAAACCGATGTAAGAACAAATCGCAATCTTGTGAGAAGGGCTATTCTTGAGACACTCCAAAATGGCGTCAACAGCACCAACCGCACTTTGATCCAACTGTGGTGAACCTGGATGATCGCAAGTGATGGTTCCGTTAAAGTCCAAACAGAATCTCACCTCCCGCGCAGGTGGCGGAGGCAACCCCACAGCACGAGGAACCCCGGACGAAGCGTCCGCTGCACTCAGGTCAACCACGGATCCCGGCAAACGAGGCTTGGTCTTTGGAGGTTCTTTCGGTTCAGGAACCTTCGCACCAGAACCCTTGGCCTTGGACTCAACACCCTTGGGCGGTTCCTTAGGTTCCGGTACTCCCTGAACTGGCCTGGCCTTTTGTGGGATAGCCTTTGGTGGGACAGGACTAACAGCTTTTCCAGAAGGATCAGCAGCCTTGCCAACCTTGGGACCTGGAACCTTACCAACTTTGGGACTTGGAGGAGATGAGTACTGGGGCGGCGGAGCCCGAACCGGTGGTGCAAACGGTTCACTAGGAACTGCACTAGAAAGCTTTGCTACCCTAGAAAGCTTGGGGCGATCCGAAGAACTTCCTGGGGCTTCTAGGACGGTCACTTCGACCTCACCAGGCAGCAGGCCGTCAGGCTCTGCAAGGCGTTCCAGTTCTCCGGAGCTTGACGTGATTTCCTCTGGTTGGGTATCTCTATGGGCAGGGACACCTACTGACTGTAGCCACTCTACGTATTTACGCTGGAAAACCTCGGCCTGTTTTCGGGCTTTACTATACCTCCTCTACCGGGTTTCCAAGTCGGGTCGAATTTATCTCGCTGGGGACCTTGAGTATGGAAACCTGAAAGATCTCTACCACCTTTGCCCCTACCCTTACCGCCCATCCACGCTTCCCGATCCCGGTGACGGCTTCGCAAGCGGCGGCGATCACAAAGGTCAACGAAGAACAGGAGCGCGAAGATGAAAAGGCAAAGCGCAAGCAACGGCGGCGCAATTGCAGTTGCAGAAAAGGCGGGTGGCGAGCGAGTGACGGCAGCAAGCAATGGCACACGCGAACACTGAGCAGGATATGGCTGATAACCACGTTTTGTGGAAATCAGACCCAAGCGCAATGCAGCAGGCACCTTTTTGTACCTCGCGACTTGAGCCAAATGTCGCATGAAGTCAATCGCATGAAGATATATCACTGACAGCTGAAATGCATCTACGGCTAAATTTCAAATTTCTAACCATCGACAAGGAGGGAACAGCAAAAGCACAAAACCACAATATACCACAATCCAAAACAACATGACCATTGTTTTGATAAACACAGAAAGATTCCAAAATCTGTTAGAAATTAAGTAACAGATCACACATTGAAATTCAACAGTGAACACCTACACTCTCTCTAAAAGTTTTGCCCCTAAAGTCTTGCGCTATTTGTGATCGGATCGTGCGCATTGCAGCCTGCTTTTTTGACACCGACACATAGCAATGCGGGTAGCATGCATATTTGCAGACCCTCTTCAAACGTCCCACGCCTGCCATCGTTTTTGAAACTGCAGCAAAACTCACACGTTTGGCTCACTTTTGGCAAGGTGCATAGGCATAATCCATGCGCCTGCCACACAAAACGACGCTTCAATGTCCAAAAGTGTTCCGAGAATGGTCTGGTTTTAGACTTCGAAGTGTGCTTCACGCCACAACAGCGTGCAATTTTTGACCGCTCCTCCGACCAAATGGCTCCACACCCGCCGCTTTAGCGAGCCTACTTTTCGACCTTCTGGAGCCACGAAACAATGGAAAACGCAGTGTTTCGCGACCTTTCTACCTTTTCGCGCACGTTGATCTTTCTCTCCTCTTACTCTTTCGCTTTTCTGATCGTCTTTCTTCTGCCTCTCTCTTCTCTGACTCTTCCCACCTCTGCTTTTCCATCTGTCCATATTGTCGAAAGTTTGACTTCTAAACTTCCTTCGGCCCTAGTTTACCCGTATT